AACAGCGGTTGTAGGGAATCCAAGGCGGCGACGGGCCCCAGCTGTCAATAAAACTACAGAAATCTCTCTGATTAGCTTGTTAATGTTTGATTTAAACACTTTAATTTGCTTTACTCCTTAAGTTTACTCGAGTTGCAGGGGAGGCTCTAGACTAAGATCAGAGGGGGCCAGCAGCTCTGTTAGAGAGGCACCTTTGTGAGAATATGTTAAAAACATTGCCTTTAAGTATTTCAAACCTGAGTTCATAGTTACAAGAAGATACAACATCTTTTCATGTAGAATTAAAATATAACTATTTAGCAAAAATCTGCTTTTCTATCAGTAACAACACGGAAGTATTTATATCAGCATCTCTTGGGGGGGCACGGGGGGCCATGTTTACTGTCAGGGTGGCACTGGCCCACCCTAGACCCTCCTCCACAAGAACTGGCCCTGGTGAGTTGTTATTATATTCAAACTTTGAAACTGTGAAAATGAGGATAAACAACTAAAACTGTGGGAAAAGGTCCAATTAACTAAATTACAGGTCAACTGAAAGAACAAAGAGGAAATCAAGAGCTGCCACTTCATGCGACGGAAGGAACCATAAATGGTTTCCTGGAAACTAAAAATTCCTAAAAAATAAAATATGCCCTCAAAGTGACAGCTATGATATTTAGAAGCAGTGGTGGTAACAGAACGTTCATTTCTGCAGAGCCGTGAGGTCAAAGGCCAAGTTCGGATCCTGTTGCCTCTTAGTCTTTTAAGTTTTCACTATTCACTAATTGTTTGTGATTTGTAGTTTGAAGCAAATGTTAAAAAATATGCTTGTTATGCAGAAGGTCCTGGATGCAAATCCCGGACGAGCCCCCAAATATTTTGACCCGGCTTGCTGGGCCATAACAACGGGAGATACACGCCACGTGTAAAAGTTCATAAAATATCATTTATTAAACAAAAATGACCTCCAATCAATGTTTATACATGAAGGTTAAAGTAAAGAGGTGCGAACTGAACACAAATGCGGCAGTACACCTGTGGGGAGAGCAGCGTGAAGCCGGACCAACTATGAATCCTCAGGTGTAACCTTAATTAGCCAGGCGTGGGGTCGATTACGATGATGAAATGACCCACTGGGATTGAACAACATAAAGACATATTTGTAAAATTAAATTAGAATTTCTTGGGGTCCAATGACCAATCCGGAGGGAGCTACAGCTCCTCCTTGGCACTGCCTCTGTTTTGAAATGAGGTTAGCTTTTTATTTTTTATTTTTTTAAATGTCAGTTTGGAAAAACGGAAAATTTTTCAGTTTGACATTCTGAAAATGCAGTGTTACTGGTAATTCTCACTGGAAAATGGAAGTGAGTGAAATCCGGCTCGTTGTTTGTGAGATGGCTGGAAACCCTGCAGCTTACAGGTGACACCAACTTTCAACTCGAGGGCAGTCGAACAACTCTTTGTGAGGCACTGGTGGTGAATTTTAAACGTGCAGAGATCGTGGATTTACATGACTGAGGAGGAGATCCAAGTAAAGGGTGCAGCAGCACGTGCATGCGTTTTTAGCCTCTAACGTTAAACATGCAGAACTGTGTGCGCGCGCGCGCGAGTGCGTTGAGAGGAGGGGGCGTCTAGAAGATAAATTGTCTGCAGATGGTCGCTGCAGAGACCGGTGTGGGGGTGGTGGGCTTCTTTTGCACCACCAGTCGAGGTAAAACTTCAAATGAGCTGCAACTCCGTCTCAATAATATCGGAGGAATGCGCCGTTGTCGCTCAGAGGAGGCGGAGTCAGGAAATGTACGAGCGCTGCCTATCAAGCAGGAGAGAGAGGAGGAGGAGGAGGAGTGAGGAAGGAGAGCTACGTGTGGCTGCTGGATGGTTGTAAAACGGAGCTCATGAAACTGGCTGGTGGAACTGTTTTTCCTGCAGATGACAGACACCCGTGACCTGCTTTGCGCGGATAAGCTGCACCAGAAAACTCTTCCAGTTGCATTTTTTCCGCACCAGCTGCAGAAACTCTGGACTGTTTGATGCTCAGAGGAAGGGACCGACCTCCAGCTTGGACCCTACCTGCAGCAGCTCTTTCTGGGTCTCGGATTGGAGAGAATCCCCGCTCACACGGACCGTAACCCCTTTACTCTCCCCCCGAAGCTCTGGGATCTGCTGCGGAAGGAGGAGGAGGAGGTTGGGAGAGGCGATCGGTCACTTTACATCACCTTTTTACAACTTATTAACCACAACAAATATTCTTTGACATGCCTGCCTGAAGCTTTTTTGGTGCTGCTCTTCATTTTCCGTCTGTTAGGCTTCGCTGGGATGTTTGAGCCGCGCTGTTTGGTGGGGTGAAGGGACCCAGAGAGGGCGAGCGCGCGGCCGGAGAGACCGAAGCGGACCACGGAGGAGCCGGGAGCATGGCTCTGGCAGCGCTGGCTCTTTGGGTGCTAATGAGTCTCACCTGGGGAAACGGGCTCCAGGTGTCCGCCAACAGGCATTCGGTTTACTGGAACAGCTCCAACATAATGTAAGACCCCCACGACTTCTTCACTTTACCTGTGTGTGTTTCACGCGATATTATCGCAGATCGTTGCGATTTAACGATAACTGCTGTTTGGATAGAGAACAAATGTCCATCTGATTGCTGACTCTTCCGTTTCACTTACTGCAGCGCTGATCTTTATGGATGAATTATGATAAATGGAGCTGCTGTTCCGAAGGCTCTGTCCTGTTTTATGGAGGCTCTCTCTGAGTCCAGACCCCTCGGCTGTGTGGCCAAGGTGGCTCCAAACCACCTTCTGCTCCACGGCTGGCCACGCAGATTTAGTTTCTGCACTTGTAACAGTTTACTCCATCACCTCCCTCTTGTTCTCGCACCTCCTCTCGTGTTTGAGGAACCTAGGAGGAAAAAAGGGGGGGAAAGGTTCCTTCCTGCTCTCCTCTTCCTCTCTGTCTTCTCCTCTGTGTGATTCAATTAGGAGCACTTCTCATCCTGACCTCATTGTGTTGCAGCAGTGTCACTATTCAATCTCTCCCCTTCCAGCTGCCTCCCCAGATCCCTCCCTTAACCCCCTTTCTTGTTTACACACTGTACGTTCGCCTTGTTCTTATCCTCCTAATCCTTCGCTTCTCACTCCCTTCTTTCCCTTTCCTCTGTGTCTTTTGCAGTATTGTCCTCTCTAGTCCGCTGGATTCTTTAGAATGTTGCATCCTTACGTGTTGAGAAACTCAAGGTTTATGTCTCCTTATGTGGAAATCTGTGAAATTCTCTCCTCAAAGTCACGTCTAAAACAGAACCTCAGTGTTTGTTCTTCTTTGGGGTCGGAGACGAAAGCAGTACTCGGATACATTTTACACTTAGCTGCTGCCTAAAGGGCGAGCGTCGCACATCTGCACACCTTCATTCCTGCTCTCTCCGTCTTGCAGCGAATCCTGGCCGTGTGGATGATTTGTTTCGGATACCAGGAGTCGCTCTGAGCATCTCGTGAGCATTATTAGAATTCACCGTCCTCCTTGGATGGGCGTTGGGATAAATCGCAACTTCCTCTCATGACTGTTCTTGTTTAAACACAATAAAAACCTTAGATATCTGCTGCTGTTTGAGCAAAGGGAGGCAGAGACGGGGTATAGATGATGGCATCTGCCTGACGGTAACTCTACACCAGTGTTTTTTTTAGCTCACAGCATGAAAAACAACTATTAGACGGAGTTTGTAGCTCCTAACAGAATTGCTGTAAGGACAGCGTGAAGCAGCAGAAGCAGAGAAACGTTTGTGATACTCGAACCTGTATCAGTTTATTTCAGGGGAAACAAATCACGCGTGAACACCTACTGCTAATCCGATGTCCTCCCAACGGAGGGTTTCAACTTCCCTGGTTTTTCCCGGTATTCCATAATAAATGATAATGAAATTCCACCTTCAGACAGAAGTAGATTTTTGCAGAATAAGGAGAAGACGCTTCGGGGCATAAAGGAAGAAGCGAGCGCCAGACGTTCGCGTAATCAGCGTTAATGAAGTGTAAGCTCAATGAAGTCGTCTGTTGGCTGATTTGGAATCGTTGGGAATGGGTGGTTGGATTTTCCTCAAACCGAGGGCTGAAACAGTCCAGAGCAGGCTGACCTCTAACCTCTGCTCCTCTCCGTTGTGTGCCTACCGCCTAGACGTTTTTATCCCCAGGGCGGAATATACTTAACCCTGCAGTGTGAGTCTTGGTGTGTTTTATATTCACACACACACACACACACACACACACACACACACACACACACACACACACACACACACACACACACACACACACACACACACACACACACACACACACACACACACACACACACACACACACACAAGCTGTGGACCTGCCTCATCCCTGATCCTCCAGTCCGTTTTCTCCCTGCTCTCACACACCATGACGGCGACTGAACCGCGGACAGGGATGACTTCAGCCTGAGCCTTCTTAGAGAATTAGCAAACAAAAGGGAAGCACAAACAGCGGCAGGTAAAAGACTGATGAGCTGTGGAGAGACCTGTGTGCACAGGAACCCAGACGTTTGGAGGCTCGGCGAGCTGGCTGTTGCCGGTCAGCCTCCCCGGAGTTCCTCTAACTTGTAGCATGGCGCGGAGGTTTAGGAGGCCAATAACGGGCCGAAGTAGAGCGGTCAGTTTCTCAAGCAGCTTCAAACCCCCCCTCGAGCCACTCGTCAACCACGAGAGACAGGCTGAGGATTACACGTGCACACGTGCACACGTGCACACACGCCTACAGGCTCGAAACCGCTAACATATTTACTCCAACACTTGTTTTCATCCTGAGAAAATGGATAATTTCCTGCATCGAGATTGTTACCATGCGTGTGTGTGTGTGTGTGTGTGTGTGTGTGTGTGTGTGTGTGTGTGTGTGTGTGTGTGTGTGTGTATGTGTGTGTGTGTGTTACTCTGGTTACAGGTGTGTCTGCTCACTGAGGGGTGACTGAAACAAAAACAAATCCATCAGTCCGTTAAATCACACATTATCTTCCACCACCTGGAAATTAGCCACTGCTGTGTGTGTGTGTGTGTGTGTGTGTGTGTGTGCGTGTGCGCGCGTGTGCATGCGTGCAGCACTGGACGGGTTTGTATACATGTGTGTGAGTGTAATTTAATAACACAGCATCGTTTACGTAACGGATACGTGGCTTAATTCCTTCGTGGGTGATTCAGTGAAGTGTAGACAAACGTGTGTTTTTGTGTCCGTTCGTGAGTCACCTCGACGCGGGTCACTCAAATGAAGCCAGCTGTCGCTCCTCGTAATATCGCACAGCCATATGTGTGGTAATTGATGCTGAGGTGGGACTCGTTTCATATTCATCCGGCTCGTCGGAGTGCACCGAGACGCGCCGCGCGAGGCGGGAGGGAAATGATGCCAGAAGCAGGGATGCTGCGGGAGGAAGTTCGGAGGAATACAGATGGATTTGGTGTTGACTGATAATAGAAGCAGGGGGAAGGAGGGTCAACATAATAATGGTAATAATGCTCTGCCTGTGCCCCGATCTGCCCGGTTTATGCGTAGTGCACAAGAGAAGAGAGAGAGGAAGAATCAGACAGCATCTCAAACCCATCCGTCCCCCAGCTTCACTCCAGACAACAATATTTACACGGATGAATATCTGCACAGAGAGAGGGTTTCACTCTGGAGCGGGCGTCTGCGTACACGTGCACCCGAGCCTCCGCTCTAACCGTGCGGATCAGGCGGTTCACCGGTAACCGGTAATAAGGCCACGCTTTTACGGGCGAGCGGGTGACGCTTTGTGGGTGTGAAGGTGTGAGCAGATGCTCGCGCCGAGGCGTCATTAATTAAAAGCAATAAGGAACACCTGTGTGATGGATGTCCAGCGTTTGCATAATAAGACTCCATGTTGTTGGCTTTCCCGTGCTGTCGCCTTCTCTTCATAGAAGTAAAGGTTTTCTGATTGGACAGGCGTCGTCTGGTAGATGATTGAAGACGAAGACGGAGGATTGTTCTCTATCTTTTTGGTAATGAGCTGCATTTCTGGAGCCTGGTCATCAGTACAGTCCGGCTGGCGGCATTTTGGTGTTTGTTTGCCTTCATTTGAATCTTATTCAGATTAGGCTGGACTAAATATTCCACTGCTTTGGAAATCTGTGGTTTCAAGCTCTTGTTTTTCTGTACTTGACCCATCGTTTCTGAATGTTTTCTCTCTTTTTGACCAAAGTCCCCTTTATGTGTCAATAGCGATGGGTACCGAATTCGGTACTTTTTAAGGTACCGACCAAATTCCACAGTACCGACTGAGCACCGATTCACGTCATTTGAAACGGCGCCTCGTTTCGGTACCCGTCCTTCATAACGAGAACTTGCCAAGACAGCTGCGCATGCGCAAGAGCGTTATGTCGTCGGTCGCTGCGAGCGAGTTGTAAACAGAGCAGCATGGTAGAAAGAACGCACGCTAAAGCTTGGGTCCACTTCACTAAATGTGATGGGTAACTGGGTGATGATGAAACCAGCGACAACGATCTAAGTGAGACATCCTCATCTTAATCTGCTCCGGTAGGTAAATAAAATGTTTGAGATAACGTTAGCTTGATATGCTAGCTTCCGTTCCGTTAATGGTGCGTTCGCTTTCTCCTCGGAACTCCGAATTTCCGACTAGAAGAACATGAACACGCTCTAAAGTTTGGCTTCTCCTTCAGGGGTGGACATTAACTTCAAAACCAACCGGCCAGCCGGGCCGGTAACTCTGATTATTTACCGGCCCTGCCAAGAATCTACCGGCCCCACTGGTCAGCCGCCAAAACGAGTCAAAATAACAACTGAACCGTTTTAAATGTAATAAACCTTTATTTTGTACACATTCACAAATATAATAACGTATTCAAGTTTGAATTTGTTTGTTCCCTCAACAAAACACGATTTTGTCGTCGCATACTTCCGGCATACAACGCAGTACATCACCAACGCCACTTTGCTGTATTCGAGCCATTGACTGTGTTTGAGATAAGCCAGTTCTGCGCAGGTTAGACCAGCGGTGATAGGCGAGCAGTGCATGCCGGTTAGATTTGTGTCCGAATTGACCCGACTTGCTCTGACGTCATGCATACGTAGGCATCGATAACCTCGTGAGATCAAGGCGGCTGCAGATTTTGGAGCAAGGCGCTGCAGTTGCTCTCTACTGGCTGCAAAACCTAGAGGATGATGGGAAACGCCTGGCTCTCACCTGATCTAAGATCTGATTGGTTCACATTTTGATCCAAACATCCGGTGGTAGAACATGAAATGTTAGTTGGTCACATGTATTCTGTAAATCATGTTACGTTGCTGATAACAACAATATAGGCCATAAGGAGAAATGTGTTTTGTGTTCTTTTGTCACGTTTCCTATGAGCACACTGAACAGCTGATAACCTTTACTTATTATTACAGTCATGTTTTCATATAGAATATATGATATCCACAAGCGCGTGAGGATGTGTTTCTGCTGCTAACAGGCACCAGAATTAAAATTGAAAATTGATCAAGTGTGAAT